CGGTGGCTCTTCTCTCTATACCTTCGAAAATCATGGAGTCCCTGATATGCGATGGTATACATGACCATTTACTGTCCCGAAATTTCTTCTCACCCCAACAGCATGGTTTCAGGAAGAGCTATTCTTGTATAACCAACCTGCTGACTGCGGTGAACAGACGGACAAGCATCCTTGATCGCAAGGGGAAGGTTGACGTCATTTATCTGGACTTCTCAAAAGCTTTTGGTAGGGTCAACCATATATGTCTTATCAATAGGCTCAAACGATTGGGTATCAAATCACATCTAACTGTCTGGGTCACTTCATATCTAAAAAATCGACGTTTGAAAGTCAGGGTTAATTTCACTTTCAGACTATGGAATGTCATAGTGGGGTCCTCCTGGGCTCAGTATTAGGACCCCCTCTCTTCTTGATTTTATAAACGACCTTCCGCAACGTGTACTGTCTGACTTATCACTTTTGGCTGAGGAACTTACTGACTTATGCAAGCTCCCCTGGGGAAAAGCGATCACGCCGTTATAGCCTTCAGTTTTGTCAGCGAAACTGAGCTAAGATATCCCACCAACAACAGGCGCTGTAATTTTAAACGTTCGAATGTGTCAGCTCAAGGGGACAATCTACAACAGGTGGATTGGGATGTTCACTCTCAACTTTATGCGGATGGTCACTGGGAATTTTTACTGCACACGCTCTTATGTGCTACAAAGCAGCCAGTTCCTTAAACGGTCCCCAAAAGCTACAAGCAACCTAATACAATCAAGAACCGCACTCTTTGTCTGCTAAGCCGCAAAAGGCACTGCTGGGGAAAACACTGACGAACAGACAATAGCGGCGCGTACAGGCAATTCAAACATCTAAGGAGCTTATGCACGAAGGTTATATGAGAAGACAGGCTTCATTAACAGATAAAGCTTATCGATAAATTTGTCTCCAATTCGAAAAGCTCATTCCTTAATATAACTTCCATTGGTCAAGACAAAACTAGAGTTTCCCAACTGATAGGTCCTAATGGCCAAACCAATAACGACGGCGAAGCCGCCAACCTATTGGCTGAACAGTACTCTCGGACATTTCCACCGACCCACATCAATTATACTGATGACAGCTTCATCTGTAACTGCACAGGACTTTCCGTAATGAACCTGAGTGCTGACTTGGTGTTCCGGAAACTTCAAGTTACCGACCGGTGGCTCTTCTCTCTATACCTTCGAAAATCATGGAGTCCCTGATATGCGATGGTATACATGACCATTTACTGTCCCGAAATTTCTTCTCACCCCAACAGCATGGTTTCAGGAAGAGCTATTCTTGTATAACCAACCTGCTGACTGCGGTGAACAGACGGACAAGCATCCTTGATCGCAAGGGGAAGGTTGACGTCATTTATCTGGACTTCTCAAAAGCTTTTGGTAGGGTCAACCATATATGTCTTATCAATAGGCTCAAACGATTGGGTATCAAATCACATCTAACTGTCTGGGTCACTTCATATCTAAAAAATCGACGTTTGAAAGTCAGGGTTAATTTCACTTTCAGACTATGGAATGTCATAGTGGGGTCCTCCTGGGCTCAGTATTAGGACCCCCTCTCTTCTTGATTTTATAAACGACCTTCCGCAACGTGTACTGTCTGACTTATCACTTTTGGCTGAGGAACTTACTGACTTATGCAAGCTCCCCTGGGGAAAAGCGATCACGCCGTTATAGCCTTCAGTTTTGTCAGCGAAACTGAGCTAAGATATCCCACCAACAACAGGCGCTGTAATTTTAAACGTTCGAATGTGTCAGCTCAAGGGGACAATCTACAACAGGTGGATTGGGATGTTCACTCTCAACTTTATGCGGATGGTCACTGGGAATTTTTACTGCACACGCTCTTATGTGCTACAAAGCAGCCAGTTCCTTAAACGGTCCCCAAAAGCTACAAGCAACCTAATACAATCAAGAACCGCACTCTTTGTCTGCTAAGCCGCAAAAGGCACTGCTGGGGAAAACACTGACGAACAGACAATAGCGGCGCGTACAGGCAATTCAAACATCTAAGGAGCTCATGTACGAAGGTTATATGAGAAGACAGGCTTCATTAACAGATAAAGCTTATCGATAAATTTGTCTCCAATTCGAAAAGCTCATTCCTTAATATAACTTCCATTGGTCAAGACAAAACTAGAGTTTCCCAACTGATAGGTCCTAATGGCCAAACCAATAACGACGGCGAAGCCGCCAACCTATTGGCTGAACAGTACTCTCGGACATTTCCACCGACCCACATCAATTATACTGATGACAGCTTCATCTGTAACTGCACAGGACTTTCCGTAATGAACCTGAGTGCTGACTTGGTGTTCCGGAAACTTCAAGTTACCGACCGGTGGCTCTTCTCTCTATACCTTCGAAAATCATGGAGTCCCTGATATGCGATGGTATACATGACCATTTACTGTCCCGAAATTTCTTCTCACCCCAACAGCATGGTTTCAGGAAGAGCTATTCTTGTATAACCAACCTGCTGACTGCGGTGAACAGACGGACAAGCATCCTTGATAGCAAAGGGAAGGTTGACATCACTTACCTCCATTTCTCAAAAGCTTTTGATAGGGTCAACCATATATGTCTTATCAATAGGCTCAAACGATTGGGTATCAAATCACATCTAACTGTCTGGGTCACTTCATATCTAAAAAATCGACGTTTGAAAGTCAGGGTTAATTTCACTTTCAGACTATGGAATGTCATAGTGGGGTCCTCCTGGGCTCAGTATTAGGACCCCCTCTCTTCTTGATTTTATAAACGACCTTCCGCAACGTGTACTGTCTGACTTATCACTTTTGGCTGAGGAACTTACTGACTTATGCAAGCTCCCCTGGGGAAAAGCGATCACGCCGTTATAGCCTTCAGTTTTGTCAGCGAAACTGAGCTAAGATATCCCACCAACAACAGGCGCTGTAATTTTAAACGTTCGAATGTGTCAGCTCAAGGGGACAATCTACAACAGGTGGATTGGGATGTTCACTCTCAACTTTATGCGGATGGTCACTGGGAATTTTTACTGCACACGCTCTTATGTGCTACAAAGCAGCCAGTTCCTTAAACGGTCCCCAAAAGCTACAAGCAACCTAATACAATCAAGAACCGCACTCTTTGTCTGCTAAGCCGCAAAAGGCACTGCTGGGGAAAACACTGACGAACAGACAATAGCGGCGCGTACAGGCAATTCAAACATCTAAGGAGCTTATGCACGAAGGTTATATGAGAAGACAGGCTTCATTAACAGATAAAGCTTATCGATAAATTTGTCTCCAATTCGAAAAGCTCATTCCTTAATATAACTTCCATTGGTCAAGACAAAACTAGAGTTTCCCAACTGATAGGTCCTAATGGCCAAACCAATAACGACGGCGAAGCCGCCAACCTATTGGCTGAACAGTACTCTCGGACATTTCCACCGACCCACATCAATTATACTGATGACAGCTTCATCTGTAACTGCACAGGACTTTCCGTAATGAACCTGAGTGCAGACTTGGTGTTCCGGAAACTTCAAGTTACCGACCGGTGGCTCTTCTCTCTATACCTTCGAAAATCATGGAGTCCCTGATATGCGATGGTATACATGACCATTTACTGTCCCGAAATTTCTTCTCACCCCAACAGCATGGTTTCAGGAAGAGCTATTCTTGTATAACCAACCTGCTGACTGCGGTGAACAGACGGACAAGCATCCTTGATCGCAAGGGGAAGGTTGACGTCATTTATCTGGACTTCTCAAAAGCTTTTGGTAGGGTCAACCATATATGTCTTATCAATAGGCTCAAACGATTGGGTATCAAATCACATCTAACTGTCTGGGTCACTTCATATCTAAAAAATCGACGTTTGAAAGTCAGGGTTAATTTCACTTTCAGACTATGGAATGTCATAGTGGGGTCCTCCTGGGCTCAGTATTAGGACCCCCTCTCTTCTTGATTTTATAAACGACCTTCCGCAACGTGTACTGTCTGACTTATCACTTTTGACTGAGCATTTAAAACTTTGGAGAGAGATACGCAACCAATAGGATATACTGGCACTTCAGGAGGATCTGACTCGACTTCAAAGTTGGGCAGACGACAACAGACTTACTTTTAACACTTCAACGTGTAAAGTAGTCCATCTGCGACATGTCGCAGACTACAGTTACAACTCAGGAAACTCCTCTTTAGTAGTATCCCGATTCGAAAAAGGTTTACGAGTCCTGGTGCTCCACGACTTAAAGTCTTACGCTAACTGTGACAAAAGTGCCTTTCGAGCAAACCTTGCACTGGTAACATTGAAGCGCATTTCTGGCCAGTTTGACGGAAGAACGTTCCACATAATCTCCAACAGTTTTATTCGTCCCCATTTAGAGTACGGAAACATAGTATTTCCTCTATCACTCCAAAAGGATAAGGACACTCTGGAGCGTATCCAACGACTAGCCACGAAATCAGTTCGGGGACTCAAATTTAAACCTTACGATGAGCGCCTCCAATCACTTGACCTTTACCCACTGGAGTATAGGCGTCTTAGAGGTGACCTTCTATTGGCTTACAGTATCCTTAACACTTCTGGAAATCCTCTTAAACCATTTGAACCATTTACTTAAGCTTAGTCCCAACACTAACCTAAGGGGCAACACCCAGAAATTAGAGATACAACATAGTAGAACGGACTGCAGGCACAACTTTTACTCCCTAAGAGTTGTCAGATGCTGAAATTCGCTGCCAGCTGAGCTATTCCAAGCAACTTCCCAGGAGTTTTTTAAGAGGCGACTTGATCTATTCTTAAGGACTAGGGATAGTATCTTACCATGATTTACCAATTCATTTTTTTCTCTTTTATCGTTAATATACCTAGGCTCTTGTCCGGAAGTATTGGTGATCCCTTGCTGTTATACACGCAAGCCTGTTAAGCGAAAGCTTCTACTATTCCGTCCACAACTATTTGAACCATTTGAACATTAGATATTGAAATTCGTTTAAAGTTATCGCGGCTTTTATTCACAGTACTAATGAGCAGCAGTCAAATATGAAGGTCATATGGTAGTGAAGATGATCAGATCGAGAAGTTAATTGCGTAACGCTGCTTATTGTTGCGCCTCAGTATCTGCAATGGAAAACACAAGTGGTCAAATATTTATCCTACTTTGTAAATGTGTTCATTTTCTCCAAGCTACGACCCAGTTCGTCGTCAAAAGATGGACCCCGGAGTTCATTAAAAATGCTTTGAAGTTTACTGCTGAGATAGGAAATGTAAGAAGTTCCTAAGAGTTATTGCTTCATAGGTAGTTAGCAGATTGGCAGATGACGAAATTTTGGCGGTTCAACTCTTCCTACAAGACCTGAGTACTATATTCCCTCATTTCGCATCATCTGTTACTTGCTTCCAACTTGTAGATGCAGTCGATTGGGCTATTGAGGTTAGTTAAACAAGTATACGTTAAATAGACCACATAGAGTAATTAAGGTATTTAGAAATTATAGGTCTCTGTGGCCAGATCACATGCTTAAACGGACTATGATGACTTAATTGCGAAGTGCTCTTCACCTATATTTGTATCGCAATTATTGTAGAGACAGACATGCTTATTTTCTGTTTGTTAATTTTATGGTCATATTGTCGTCTGTGAGTTCGACACACTACACTTCTACCATATGATCGAGGGCAGTAAGTCAAAAGTTCACTAAACATGGAGATAGACACAATATTCGAGTTAAAGTCTTGAAATAGAGTGGATTTTCAGAAGTTATAAATCCACTAGTATGGGGTTATTTTAAAAAGTTCGAAAATACCTGGCAACCTGTAAGAGACAGTTGTAGTTAAGTGACATTACCGCTCTTTTCGAACTTCTCCGATTCCTTTCTTGTTTTCGTTTGTTATAGATGCATCGTTATCTTGGGGAATAGTGCACATCTCTCTACCAAAACCTACTTTAGACCTTCTGTTGAAAACAATTCTACTTGAAAAAATGACAAAACTTTACTTAACTTGATTGTTTTTGCGAAGCTGTTTAGAAAGAACCATATACTTTTAACTTTCAGTAATCTAAAACCACTAACTAGATGATTAAGCTACGAAATTAGGAAAAGTGGGTCTGAATGAGTTTGGTTCATTGAATTCTATGAAATCTGTGGTGGTGCATCATTTAGTTCATATATGGTATACAAGGTACATAAAAGTAACATAACTAACTAGTTTGAGATGTCTCATATTTGAAATAATAGTGTACATTTTCATTCATTGAGGTCAGTTTTGAGGGGTAATGCGTAGAGTTATTAACTGGTCACTGTTACCTTAGGGATTGCATCCGAGTGACTGGTCAATAAACTTATACTACTTTGACTGTTTCATTTATGTGACATATCATGCCTAACCATAAATTTTTTGCTTTCCAGAGTCTTTGTAGCAATCCGTACCTTTCACAAACAAATCGTGATTGTATCTTTGAGTATTGCTTAGATACCAATCGCAAAGTATGTCTGCCAAGTCATGATGAAATATTTACCTAGTTACCCCACTTTAACAGATACTACTCGGAGCTACACTTTATACCGAATGATTTGTTGCTGATTATTGAATCCCGTTTATTTGGTTCACACATCTCTTCAATAAAGACATTTACTGAGACAGAAAAATATTTGGATTCATGTTTCGCATTGGATAATAGTTATACCATACATTTACTTATTCGTGTACTAGAACAGTCGGAACAATGTGACAAATCAGATGCTTTACGTACTATTATTATTCACTGGCTACTTGTTGCTATCCAAAAGGATTATGAGGCGTAAGTTCTTTCTGGTAGTACATTTATCTTTTATCCAAACACTAAAGTCTATAGTTGTGATTCATAGGAATATTTCAATAATAAGGGTTTCTGGTTATCAAACTTTACTTAATTGTACGCAGTCCAAACACATGGCTAACAACATTTGTTCGTATATTGTGAATGTTACTCATAACTAAACAGATGAATATTGTTACTGGGCTGAATTCGTATTCGAGTGGTTTGTGGACAGCCGAAGCAGTTACGAGTACTAAATCATCTTATTGTATAACGGATGTTTGGATAAAGTTTTGATTGTACTTTTACATCTGTAGATCCTCTTTAATGAACAAATGTGTTACTAGGGTTTGCCAAGACCTCAAATCATCTGCTTATGCAAACCTGACTTTTGTTTGCGAGTAGGAGTGTTTATCAGCCTAGAAATACCATCTGTTCTTTCTTTCTCGTTAACTTTTTAACCCTATTATAATTTACTAAATCTTTTTGTCCGTTAGCTTTCACTTCTGCTTGTTTTCAACTTTAGCAATATTAATTTCTCATCATTTCTGTTGTGCATCCTAAACTCGAAGGATTATTATTTGATCTTTGACACGTTTCTAATCATTAGTTTGTCGCTAATATTTGGATTCACTGGTTTTTATCTTGTAGTTAAACTCGATTTAACATTCATTTATATTCTGAACTTTTTCGGTTAATTGATAACTATTTTATCGATTTCCGAATCTCAATTTCATCTTTTCTTTTATTATTAGTATTTATTTATTTGAACACATAAATATTGGTACAAGAGGGCACCAAATATATATGCGCCACACAAAACAATGATAATTTGAAGAGAAGGAGAAAAGAGAAAAAAAAGTAACGAACGTGGGGAATAATAAAAAAAAGAGAGAACAATGGCGGGGGAAACGGAAAGGTACAATCAGAAGAGATCTTTCAGTTAAGGAAGATACAACCACTTTTTATGAAGAAAGTAAAAAAAGGTTACAGCAGGATCGTCACTGGCTTCTGTTGTGAGCCATATCTGATAACGTTTCTAGCCACTGTTACACCATCTTTAGGACCTCAGCCAGGGAGTCGTGAAGGACCAACACAAGCTAGCGCTTTGCAGCTTTCTTTCATACCACGACACCATGTCATATACTGACCACCTCTCCGCTTTTTCCAACCAGTCCCAGAGTCGGCAAATAGTGCACGACGTGGAATTCTCTGGGACAATATTCGTAAAGCATGTCCATGCCACCGAAATCGGTGTTTCAAGATGATGACACCAATTGCATTATCGTCTCTGTGCCCGAACACACGATGCCGAACCTCTGCATAACTAACATTGGTGTTGCCACTGGATGTCAGCAATCCTTCGGAGACAGCGATGATCGAACACAGAGAGACGTCTAACATCCTCAACTCGGAGAGGCCAGGTTTCACAAGCATAGAGCAGAACTGCTCTCACCGTCGCGTTGTAGATCCGACCTTTTACAGCCAGACTAGCATCACGAAGGTGCCAAAGGTGGCCCAGATTGGCATAAGCCGCTCTGGCTTTCACTATACGTGCATTGATCTCATCACTCACTCACACCACCACCAGCACTTATGCAGCTACCTAGATACACGAACTTCTCGACTACTTCTATCTGCTCACCATCCAGAGTGAGTAGAGGATTAGAATCCTGCCAGTCTTGTAGAAGTACTTTGCACTTCGAAGGTGTGAAACACACACCGTACCTACAAACACTGATTGCCAACTGATTAAGTGCGGATTGCATGGCTTGGGCATTCTCGCACAGTAAGACAATATCATCCGCACACTCAAGGTCGAGAAGTCTTTCTCCAGGCAACAGATCCACACCACCATTACTTACATCCGTCAGAGCTGTTTCCAGAATGTCATCAATGGCAAAGTTGAAGAGGAATGGTGAGATTGGGCAACCCTGCCTAACCCCACTGCTTGAATGGAATAATGGAGAAAGGTGGTTGTATGCCCTCACTCTGTTTGAGGTGTTTGTGTATAGGGATTTTAGGATGTTAATAAACTTCTCAGACACACCCTTCTTGAATAGGCAATCCCAGAGAACAGTCCCATCCAACGAATCGAAGGCAGCCTTGATGTCAAAAAACACTACGATTGTTGGCCTTTGATAAGTATGGCGGTGTTCTAACATTTGGCGGAGGGTGAAGATATGATCAATACATCCTCGACCAGAACGAAACCCAGCCTGCTCCTCGCGAGTCAATCCTTCTCGGGTTTTGAACAACCTACGAAGTATGACGGAAGCCAGTAGCTTGGACGCGACCGGAAGTAGACTTATCCACCGATAGTTGTTACAGGAACGACGCGAACCCTTTTTAAAGATAGGGGCAACTATCGACTCATTCCATGACATTGGTACACTCTAGTTCCCAGACCTTTGTAAACAACGTCGTCAGTCCCTTAGTCAGAAAGTCACAACCATCTTTAAAAAGAGCCGGAGGTAAGTCGTCTGGGCCTGGTGATTTGTAACGTTTCAAGAGTTGGAGTTCCTTGCGGACTTCCGCCTCATTTGGTGGATCAGTCTTCACCGGCCATGGAGGGCAGGACAGTCTGACCGACGTTGCCGGAGCAGCAGGCCAGTTGAACTGTCCTTCGAAAAATTCTGCCCATCGTCCAAGACGTCGATGGATGTTAGTGATTGGCGTTCCGTCATCCTCGCAGATCGTTTCGCTCACACCAGACTTCTTGCTGCCAGTGGCTTGGATGAGTTGGAAGAGCTTCCGGTAATTACCAGATGCAGCTGCTGCTTCCAACTCACTGGCACGCTCCGACCACCAGGCTTCTCGGTCCTTACGCAAGCTTTGCCTGATTTCATTACGTAACTGTCGTCGTTTGTGGTCAAACTCACGGTCACCCGGAGTAGACCGACGGGCTTCAATGAGTTGTAAAGAACCAGAAGGAACCCAGTGCTTATAAGCGGGACGTTTCGCAAACCCACAACAGACTGTACCCGCCATTTTCATGGCGTCATGCAATTGCAACCAATGCTCATCTATACTTTTCGGTGGAATGGTAGCTAGCCTAGAAGCTAGCTCTGTTTGGTACATACTAGCAACAGAAGTTGCAACCAGCTTGCTAACGTCAATCCTTTGGTGGCGGTCACTTCGTTGTCCACTGAAAAGTAAGGTGAGATTGGCGCAGACCAGAGCATGATCAGATTCCAGATAGGTACTCCAAAAGGAGCGGCAGTCTTGTACACAACCACGCCAGCGGTAGCTGATCGCGATGTGATCAATCTGAGTCCAGGCTTGAGATGCAGAGGGAGGACGCCAGGTGGCACATCGGCGATGACTGTGCCGAAAGTTATTGCTAGCCAGAAACAGGTTGTGGTCTGTGCACATTTGTAGTAGACGGTCCCCGTTATCTGTCCTGTGATCAACAAGTCCCCATCGGTCACCTAAACGATTCTCTTCTGTGCCTAGACGCCCGACCTGAGCATTCAAGTCTCCGGCTAGTTCTACAATATCTGTCGAACACACTTTCTGGAGAAGAACCGTTAACTGGTGGTAGAATTCATCCTTGATTGCATCCGGGCTGCAATCTGTCGGAACATAGGCGGAGATGACGAAAAGACATCGTTTCTCACGCCGATTTCTTCTCACTTTGATGGAACTTTCTAACCTAACAGCACATAACCGACTGTTAATGGGGATCCAGTCGACTAGTGCTGCCTCAGCTCTTGCGCTTAGTGCGACACCAACGCCAGCAAGACCAGATGAAGATGCCACAGGGTCTCCGGATAAACGCACATAAAACAAGCTTTTTGAAGTGACAGATGGAGAGCGAATTTGTAGTACTTCACAAGAGTCGTGAATACGGGTCTCGGATAGACAACAAACGTCGATATTAAGACTTTTCAAAGACATAGCCATCCCTATCTGTTGTCCGACCTGCATAAGTGTGCGAACGTTGAAGGCAGCCAGTTTGAATGGTGCGCGTGATTTTAGAAAGACTGCTTCAGTACTCATATTCGGTAGTAACATACAATTTTCAACCAGGCAGTGATTCGAGAACGTTTAGATAAAGCTGAATTTTCACCATAGGCGAGCTGCTGTCTGAGTCTAAACGGATACAAAAAGTAGAAATAGGAGATAGTGAATTAATGACGTAGTAAATAATAATAATACCAGTCATTTCAATGTTAGTCGGAGAGAAACCAATATTTTCTATAAGCAGATAGTTCATCATGTTTTTAGTGTGTGGGCTGAGATACTGCCCGGGTGCCCAAACCGAAGCAGGTGGTTTTCTTAGGGGTCCACACCCCGAGCCTTCGACCTAAAGGTCTAGTCCACAAGGGAGTGGAGCATCGTGAGGAGATGCAGTCCCATGGAAGCCGGTGACCAAAAGTTGGTTCATACGCCATTTGTTCCTTCAGGATACTGGAGCCCATGTGCACCATAGATTTGGGATCCGGTTATAGCGCCGGACATTCGCTTTTCGTCCTCTCATTTTCGTAAACAACACCCCGCCACGAGAAGGCAGTGAGTAGTACTTCCCTGGCAGAGGCTGTATACGCGTGGCCGTGTGAGAGTATTTCGAGAGGGAGCGCGAACCCTCCCCGCTCTCGGCCATACCAGGGCATTTGGGGGCATCATCTTTTCTACTTAATGATGATTTTTCGTTTGGTTATTTTACTCATACATTCATTTTAAAGGTTATTTGTATCGTAACTTGATATCGATTATAAAACCATTGTGATATAAGGAGTACTGAACAGTTGTTTTAGTTCCGGATTCACTGACTCATAGATTATTTAGATACATGTGGTGATCTGAAAAACATATCCAAGTAACTTTAATTATGGACTTCTGCTGTAAAAATGCTGTTAATTGTAATTGGATTGTATTCATTATTTACCTCAATATTTCATTCATTATGTATGCCGCGCAGTATACTGTCTCTTAATTGATAGACAGTTATCTCGCTTTCGCCATAGGTGACGTAAGTTGGCAAAAGCCAAACGAGCTTTCCGAATCCGTGCTGAGATTTCGTTAGACACCAACCCATTAAGGCTGATCAGACTTCCAAGTTAAGTGAAGTTGTCAACGCGTTCAACTACTTCACTCCTTATCCTTAGTTCAGATGTTGACGCAGGCCATTCCTGGAGCAACAACTTGCATTTAGAGGGTCCGGGCTTGAGATCTGGAGGGAAGGCCTCAAGTAGCACGTTCGTGATGACTGTGCCAATAGTTAATGCAAGCCAGAAACAGGTATTCTGCCCAGAGCTGTCATTTAACCTGCGACCTACAAGTCCTCATCGGTAGCATTAGGAGATACGATCCCATGTTAGCTTTTCTCAGTTTTTTTAAGTGCATATTTCAAGTATTTTACTGAATTGTTTGTAGCAGGTTGTTATAACGCTCGGTATTACTTTGTCTGATGTTGTAGCGCTTAAACGGTTATCTACACTAGATCCCTCCCAGTGTCTATTCTACAGGACTTCAACACAACTCAGATCAAGAACACGTAAACTGCCTGACCAGAACTTAATATATTTTTACACCCAAAACCGACACAATCCACAACAATGAACAATCAATAGTAAGAGGATGTATATAAGAGTGAGTCACAATAATAAGGGTAAGGGAATATATAATTTATCTAACACCTGTCAGACTCTAAATGTCTGACTAAGCAGACAACCAATCATGATCGTTCTCGCGCACACATCACAGGTTTATACCAAACTTTCAGTATTCGAATAGTAAATTCAAACTTCATTCCAATTTAGAAAGTTATGTGATGTTATTCTTTGTGAATTACATACAAATCACTATCTCTTAGTTAATCGTTCATATATTTGTGTTTATTTTATGCATTTTCAGGTATGTTTCTCTGGCTTCATACAATCCTGATCATTTACGTGATTTGGCCATACAATTTCCTGATTTTGGAAGAGTTATATTAAAGCTGTTTGATGAAACTGAACATATACGAGTGAGCAAAACACGGTCCACTGATTTGTTTATAATGATACTTGTTCACTGACTAAATCTGATGGTTTTTCTACTATTTTAACGTAGTTTTAATTCACATACATAACCTCCATTTTCCCAACAGCAAAACGTGGAATTTTCTGAACACATCGTGAATGAGTTAAGTAGTTGCTACATGTTTAGGTCGTATAAATATCACGAAGTCAAAATCACGTAGTGTAGTGTAATGAGGTAGCTCATTGGATTGTAGGGATAAGTATATACTGCTACTATATCAACTTAAAATTACACTATATCACGTTTTCCTAAATATCCGAGGTTGTTTTTATTGGATTTTAGCCGTATCGCTTCTAAATTCGTTATTCGTTAGGATCCTAGTCCTCGATTTCAATGTCTAGGAAATATGAGAGCGTATAATTGTTTTCAAACTAGACTTTGGATAGTTCATCACTTCTGTTCCAAGCAATATACGCTAAACAATTTCACCACTTACAGTATATATATAATCCGTAGTATGTAGTTGTGTACTATTGTCATAGGGGAAACAATGTACCGTATGCCTCTCCTGATCATTTGGAGATTATTATTTCTAAGGAATGTTAGAATCAATGTCGGTCATTCAGCGAAATATAAAATTGGTCTCCGCTTATATATGCCGATCGTTCATTTTTCATTTGTATTCTATACATTCAATTAACGAAATAAAATTCGCCTCATTTTCTTCACTTTTTGAATCTGAAAAATAGTTCGAAAAAGTTGGGTCAGCGGAAAATAATCAGTGCACACTGATAATGGACTTATTAATTAATTTATTTAAACGAATTATTTTCATTGATCATTTAAATCCCCTCCTGTTATCGCAAATAAACCGATTGGCAAAAAAGAACAATTCTGAAGCAGAATTTTGGAATTCTGTTGCGTGTGCTATAAATATGTCTTAAAATGATGTTAAATAAAAATGATACATATTAATGTGATTGTTGTTTTGTAAGACTTTTTTCCATGTTTTATTTTTTGGTTATTACCTTTTGCTGTTTGTGTTATTAGCTTCGTAAATTGGCCTTAATTATATTATCCATGGAAGAATTCCTCAAACTTCCTAGCCGATGCCTTTGTGGAATCTATTATTTTCAAAAGTTTTCACAGTATTCAAATTATTTCTGTTAAACTGATGTACTGTCAGATAATTGCTTAATGCAAATTGTCACTTTTACTTATTACTATATCTTAATGATGGAATGTGTAAATTAAAGGGATAATTCGCAAGTGGAGTAATGATGTAGCGGTCAAAGCGATCAACTTTCAGACATAATGTCGCGGGCTCAATCTTTTACTCACCTGATTTAGTTGGAAGGCCGGATGTTATCACTAATTTGGACAAAATTTCGGTTGATAGACGATTACATAAACTTTTACTCGGTTACTGAGTTACATCCACTTAATTTTCATGAGGTATCTCACAGGATACTTCCACTATGCATTACCAATCTACATTAACTTTAAGGACAGAAAAACAGTTCCGAAGTTGTTTGAAAACTGTTACTCCCAGTGCAGCATAGGCCGCCGACCATTATTCTTCAACCCACTCTGTCCTGGGACTTCCTTCGTAGTTCTATTCGACTTTTGTTCATTCTTCTCATGTCTCTATCCATTTCTTGGCGCTATGAGTTCTTTGGTCTTGGGGATTCTAGGTGCGGTCTTGCCTTGTGACGCAATTGGGTGCTTTCCTCAATGTGTGTCCTTTCCACTTCCAGCGCTTCTTCCTGATTTCTTCCTCTACTGGGATCTGGTTTGTTCTCTCCCACAGTAGGTTGTTGCTAATAATGTCTGGCCAACGGATCCGAAGTATTTTGCGTAGACGACTGTTAATAAACACTTGTATCTTCTGGATGATGGCTTTCGTAGTTCTCCATGTTTCCGCCCCATACAGTAGAACTGTCATGACATTTGTATTGAGAATTCTGAGTTTGATGTTGGTTGACAGTTGTTTTGGGTTCCAGATGTTCTTCAGTTGTAAATATGCTGCTCTTGTTTTGCCGATTCGTGCCTTCACATCTGCATCATATCCACCGTGTTCATCAATGATGCTGTCCAGATAAATAGCTCTGCAAAATAAATTTCCAATCCTACTGGTGAATTATGTAGTACTAAATCTAACTAATATAAACATTGAATTTTTTATGAAATCTAATATATTTATTCCGGAAGAGCTAGACGAAGCTGAATGAAAGATATAATCGACGAAGAATGGAGTAAACTCTGATAAATAGTTAAAGAAAACATATTCCCTCCCAAGTCCATTGATAGTAACCTGAAACTAAAACGTCAAACGGAAAGACTGGCACATTTCATAAACAAGTAATTTTAAGAGGTGTAATGTTCAGGATTTAATTTTCCTACTGATAGATTTTCTAAGCTTCCCCCCAAACTGTCGCACGCTACAATAAATAAGTTTAAACTATATGTAGTCGTCTATTTCAATGTTTTTAAAATATAGATTATAACAATTAGTATTTATTTTATTGTTTTATTTGAACACAAATATTGGTACAAGAGGGCACCAAATATATATGCACCACACAAAACAATGAGAATGGGAAGAGAAAAAAGAAGGTAAGGGGCGCAGAAAAAAGAACAATAACGATCAGATTAGTGTAAGGTAGTGTAATAGTAGTAATAATGGGGGAAACGGAAAGGTACAATCAGAAGAAATCTTACAGTTAGAGAAGAAGCAGCCACTTTTTATCAAGAAAGTAAAAAAAGGTTACAGCAGGATCGTCACTGGCTTCTGTTGTGAGCCATATCTGATAACGTTTCTAGCCACTGTTACACCATCTTTAGGACCTCAGCCAGGGAGTCGTGAAGGACCAACACAAGCTAGCCCTTTGCAGCTTTCTTTCATACCACGACACCATGTCATATACTGACCACCTCTCCGCTTTTTCCAACCAGTCCCAGAGTCGGCAAATAGTGCACGACGTGGAATTCTCTGGGACAATATTCGTAAAGCATGTCCATGCCACCGAAATCGGTGTTTCAAGATGATGACACCAATTGCATTATCGTCTCTGTGCCCGAACACACGATGCCGAACCTCTGCATAACTAACATTGGTGTTGCCACTGGATGTCAGCAATCCTTCGGAGACAGCGATGATCGAACACAGAGAGACGTCTAACATCCTCAACTCGGAGAGGCCAGGTTTCACAAGCATAGAGCAGAACTGCTCTCACCGTCGCGTTGTAGATCCGACCTTTTACAGCCAGACTAGCATCACGAAGGTGCCAAAGGTGGCCCAGATTGGCATAAGCCGCTCTGGCTTTCACTATACGTGCATTGATCTCATCACTCACTCACACCACCACCAGCACTTATGCAGCTACCCAGATACACGAACTTCTCGACTACTTCAATCTGCTCACCATCCAGAGTGAGTAGAGGATTAGAATCCTGCCAGTCTTGTAGAAGTACTTTGCACTTCGAAGGTGTGAAACACACACCGTACCTACAAACACTGATTGCCAACTGATTAAGTGCGGATTGCATGGCTTGGGCATTCTCGCACAGTAAGACGAAATTGAGGGGATGGAAAGCGAATGTACGGTGCTTTAACCGGGCCGGTGAACACGGTAAGTCCACCTAGGGGAGTCGGAAAACCCTGATTCCAATCCAATGACGCAAAAGGGCTCCAGTATCCTGAAGGAACAAACGGTGTCCAAACAAATCGTTAATCACCGGCTACCATGGGACTGCATCTCTTCACGATGCTCCACTGCCATGTGGGTCAGACCTTTAGGTCAAAGACTCGGGTTGTGGCCCTCTAAGAAAATCACCTGCTTCGATCTGGGCACCCGGGCAGTACCACAGCCCACACACAAATAAAATGAAGATATTTGCTGAAAATTACAATTAGTATGAGAACCTAAAGCAATATTTTCTACACACAAAAAAAATTCGTATATACTAAACGATGTGTTGGGATATTCAGAAAAATATCCCAAAAATTATCTTGTTAAGTCGAACGTGAAATGATGTCATTTTCCTATTGGTCAATATTTATCCAACTTGTCATTCTCCTGTTGGTCAAATCTTGTACAAATGTTATTTTCTATTTTATGGTACGTTGTGGTCTGTTTGTTTGCTATATAAACCGAGTATGTTTGAAATATAATGATTCATATCGCAGAGGCTGAGACTTGTGTTCTGGACTCAACTGGCTGCGTAAACAGGGAAGTAGGGCCAATCAGAACTATAGGCTGTTCTTACATGTTTTACGCGTCTTTGGTCCGTTCGATAACTCACTGCCTCCAATCCGCGCGTGTAACAACGTATAACAATTGGCGGGTCACAATATATGACACAATGATTAAGAGATAGTATAATGAGTTTGTAAAAGTTTGATCATGTTTATTAAGATAGATAAACAGAGATTAGTTACTCTGAGGTCACACAGTTTGCGTTTAGGGGATACACACTTATGTTAATGGCCTATTCATTCGCGACATACGGCTCCAGAGATCCCTAGAAGTCGACAGTATAAATCCTTCAGGAGGACCTCTTGTTCATATGAGTTACGAATAGTATTGATCAGCAGATACCTGATCAGATGATGTCAAAAATAAACTGCGTCAATGTATATCTACTAATTTACTTGCTATAATGACGTGTTCTTTTCAAACACATCCTAATACCATCTGTTACAGCTATCTAAAGGTGAATCTAAATCAGTTAGTTATATTTTTAAACATTTGATCGATTCTAGTCACTGATATGTGTCAGAATCTCCTTTCGAAATCATCCACTGTGTTATAAGAAACTTGCTAGGAGGTAAGAGATAAGATAGCTATTCACAGAAGACTTGGAATTTATCAATTCATGCTTGATCTCAGTTAACATGGTTTGAATCCTACTTGAGTTGATTTTGGCACATGTTAATTTTCTATTTTATCCTATATGGTGGATTAGAAACTAATGATAAACATTTATGACAAAGTTCATAAAAAACGAATGTAGGAAATGAATATCAACAATCAATATAGAAGATGAAACAATTAGGAACAAATACTCTACTGATTACTTCCAAATGAACACAGTCTACATTTCCAAATGAATCCATAACTTTTATGAGAGAAATATTTCCACAGCAGGTTACATATGTACTGGTACTGCAGTGCATACTACCATACAAACATTGCGAGCAGGAACTATAATACCTATGAACACGTTTGTTATGAAACTAGTGAGTAAACAGCAATTGAGAGAACATTGAATGAAGTGATTAGCGTGTGCATTATTAAGCGATAGTCAGTATAACATATATTTATACAGGAAGGTTAACATATTAAATTAAATAGCATATAACAATTACAAGAATTGTACTGATTGAATTTAATTGTGAAAGATATGAATAGTAGAAAAAGCTATTTATAAATTACATCTAAATTGGCCATAACTAAGAGTGAGAAATTATCATCAACGTCTCTATTCTAAATGTTGTTTTCACCTTATCTACTTCTCATTTCCCTCTATCAATTGCGTAACTTACATTTGACTCATGGAAACTTCGATCAACAATTGATGACGTCATTAATGATCCAATAATTCCCCAACATACTATAGACAACTATTCGTAAATTAACTATCAATACAATCGCACAGCTTTAATGAATGAAATCGTCAAAAAAGGAACACTTGTATTGCTGGTATGTCTTTAACTTTATTTATCTCAAACTTCAGCAGTATTTTTTATCTGTTAGTCGACCACTTAACCCTGCTACCCTATGATAATTAGAAGTAATTGAATTATAGTATGAACTAAGAATCCCAGGGATAACGCAATTGAATCAAGAAGTACTACACAAGCACTAACGAATGTACTGTATTTATAATTCGAAATCAAACATTCAACAAGTACAAAGGAGTCATTAGTTCATTCAAACACCACATCCGCCACAGCTTAAATTAGAGTCTAAGTGTCTGTAATCAATTGTACGTCTTCTCCTCAAGTTCATGCTGTGTCTGTCCGACAATGTATTGGATAAAGACTCTGTATTATCTAGAATGCACTCATTATTATTAGAATAAACAACTGAAATCGGAACAGACTCACTTGATTTCTGGGATTGTGTACAATCATCATGTCGGTTGAGTACTGAAAGTATTGCTAACT